TGCTGCCGGTTCTCTCCCCACAAAGGCGCTACCGGAGCCGCCGCCGGTCCCGCCTTATAAGCCCGCTGACAAACAAGACCCAACGCGCATGCGCCGCCCCGCCGCCGCCCCGCCCACCGGTCGTTGTAGGCGGGGACTGTCCGCGCCCCCGCTGCAGCGGGTCAGGCCACCCCCCTCCCCCGACTTTTGGGACTCGACTTTTTGGGTATCGTGCAAGGGCGGGGGGGCAGTGCCTCTCCCCCCCCCCCATCCCGTTTGAGGGGTTACTTTTCCGCTTTTTTTTTTTCTTTAATCCCCGTTTCTTGGGTAAACGCTCTCGTGTTCGTTTTCTTTTTTTTTTTTTTTTTTTTCCCCCTAAACGCTGCGTTGGTAATTCTTGCAGTTTCCCCCAGGTTTTGGTGTGATGGTGGTGGGTATCTCCTCCCCAAGCCGCTGTGCTTTGGGGGCGGGGAGCGGTGGCACAGAGACGCAGCGCTGAAAGTTCGGACCGACAGTTAAAAGTTTTCAAAGCGTATGCCTGTATTCCCTGGTTTTCTCAAGTTAAAAAAAAAAAAAAAGTCATTCATTTTTCCCTTGACGTGACACCTGGTGGAGGTTCTCATGCTTTTTTATGACGAAGATGTTCGGTTGTGTCCTGCGGGTGTGTTAGGGGACTTTTTATGTTTTTGCACCATCTTGTGGTAAGGCTTCATCCTTCCTTCGGTCATAGACTCATTTAGGGTGGAACAGAACTTTCAGATCACCGAGTCCAACCGTAAAAAGATAACTCGCCAGAGAAGCAGAGGGGTCGGTTGTAACTCCTCTTCTGCTAATGCTTTTCCTGTCGCAGTCGTGTCTTCAGATGCAGTGGGTGCAATGCATATGTTTATTTGCACGTTCTTCCTCTTTTCTACAATTTAGAAGGTAACCGTGTCCTCCATGAGTCATAGAAACCACAACTCAGTGGCCTGCGGTTGCTGTAGGACGTGCGAAAGCTGGCAGCCAGATGGGATGCAGCTTCCATCCACGGAGCTTGGGCCACAGCTCCTGTCCTTCCAGTTCTGGCTCGGCTGTCACCATCCACCTCTCTCAGGGCGAATCTGCAGAGATGATGAAGAGCACAGATGAAGCTGCCTTTTCTGGGAAGTTGAAGACCCAAATCTAGCTAGCCCAGTGGATATTCGTGTGGATTTTTTTTTTTGTATTTATGTAGATAAGGAAGGGGACCTTCCTACATAATTGGGGTACGGTGTGTGCTCATTTATTTTCTGATAATGTGTGATATGTTTTGTGTATTGATTGCATTTGGCCATTCCAGGCTTGTCAAAGAAGGATAAAACAATTTGCTCAGCTGCTGTGAAACCTCCCCTGTATATATATCATCTGCAGAACTTGTAGCCCTAACTGGCCTCCCTGCTCACTGGGATTCCTGTCTTTCGCCGATCCATTTCTAGACACACAACTTAAAAATACCACAGCTGCTGTTGGGATGTGGGATGTGCGCCAAGCGTTTCATACGAGTACGCTGTTAGGAAGATCACACCCTTTGTGAACTTGCGGGTCATCTTCTTGGACTTTAGGTTTTGCCAATTTGCAGACACTTAAAAGTCCTGACCATGCGTCATCCTGAGCAGCAGACAGCTCTTTCCTATTCTTGGATGTCTGTCTGGAGGAAAATGCAGTGGATGGTAGCTCTGCTTCTTAAGGCTTACTGGACATGTTGAGAATGCCACCAATAAATCTGATTTTTATTGCAACAGTGAGACAGCTGCAATTTGGAGCAACTTTTGAGGGCTGCAGGCATGGTCGAGCCTTTCTTGGATGTTCTTCCAAACACATAGAACTGAGTCCACTGAAATTTGTGTGACATGTGGATACCCGTGTCATGCAAAATCCCACGATCTTTGAAGCTCTCTAATTTCCATATATTGTTATGCTGTTGTTCTGAGTTAATTACAAAATAACCTGAGTGATCGGATGTGCTGATTTACATGAAAGTTGACCCAGTTTTCCAGACTAATTCTAAATTCCTGTTAAAGCTTGGTGAAAAAAAAAAATCAATTTCATATTCACTCTGTGCTATGCACATATATATGCACCCAAAGCACCTGAGCTGAGATCTGCTCTTGTTTGAAATAATGACCCACCTTTTCCTAGCGCCCCAGTCAGGAAAGTTTCCTCTGTTTTTTTTTTTTTTAATTTGTCCCTATTATCTCTTCCCTAAAACATGAATATCCTTCCTGCAGCCCTTCACCTCTGTGTCCTTTGGGGAAGGAGAATGGATTGGGACCAGCGTTTCCCATGTTGCATCCTGTTGGTTATTGTGGGCACAGCTGTAAACTCCTGAATCACAAGATTTTGTTATGAATCTGGAAGTATTTGGTATGTTAACTTAAAGTCTCTGATTCAGGTGAGGTAAGAAGCCAACCTCTAGCAGACTCTTTTAGACATGATGAGTTCAGAAAAGAGCTTTGAGTTCACCAGAACAGCCCAGAAATCAGCACGGAAATGAAACAATCTCTTGTCTTGGTGTCTTGTACAAAGTACATGTATTTATACAAAAATCTCTCTTTAAGTCTGCCATTTGCCCACTTGCGCTTGCTCTCCTGCCCATCTCTCACCCACTCGCCCATCTCTTTCTGCTACCCCTGTCTCTAACTGGGAGCGATTCAGCCTGGGTGGGTGCCCACTGCTCAGCCCTTTTCCCCACCGCTGACCACCTTCTCCCACCCGGGTTGTCCTGCCTTAAATCTGAGCCTGTTTCCCACCAGAAGTGCCACCCACCACCTCTTTGCTGCTCTTATTTCTGGTCCCACGCCGGCTTGTTTCCAGCCATCTTCTAGATCACTGCATCATATATATGGTTATATGGAGTTTAAACCTGGAGTCTTTGAAAAGGCTCACAGTTTGGTTAGGTGTGTGTTACGAATAGTAAACTTTAGGTCGGCAGTTCTGCAGAAGGATGTTGTATGTGCATGTATTCATGCATTTCCCACATCCTGCCAAAAGTCACACATACATTCAGTCTCTGCAGCTTTTTTTTTTAAATATTTCTGATAGTATACTGTTAATTTTATTGTCGTCCTCGTAATTTATGTGTTTCGTGCCATCTTGTGGCAAACGGGGTGAACTGCCTGCGCTGCCTTTTACCAGCCTTTTTGCTTGTGCATTTCTGCAAACCGTTGGTGAAGCCTTTGTGTCAAAATCAAATTAAAAAAAAAAATTAATTCTGCTTCTATTTAAATGGAGAACATGCTATGAAGTGTAACTAAAAGAGGTATTGAGCAGTTGTTTTCAGCTGTCTAGTTAACTGTGAATATTAGTTAATTTTCAGGAGGTTCTATTTTTTTCAAATGAACTGTCCTTTAGTTAAGTATTAAAGGTTTTATAGATCCTGAATCAGGATTTAAAAAATTGAATGCAAAGATGATCAAGTCTTATGATTTAGATCAACAATAGGCAGTGAAGACTTAGTTCGTACACACTTAGAGTGGTTATTATTTGTCAGGAGCCTCCAATAACATTTCTCAGGCCTTGTATGTGATAGACTCTGCATAGAAGTCAGCATAAAGTTTGAAAAAAATTAAGTCCAAATCTTTTTTTTTTTTTTTTTTTTTTTAGCTGACGAAAACCATGAAGGTGATGCTCTGTCTTTTATTGGAGTCAGTATCTCCAAGGAGGATGGCAATATTCCAGCCTCTAGAAAGAGATGAAGATTAGACCTCATTTAACAAACCATTTCCTGAAACTGGGTATGACTTGTCTTTTCTTTTTTTTTTGCAGTTGTTTTGGGGTTTTATTTTTGATTGAAAGAATGGAAAGAGGAGAGGAAATTTTGTTGGAAAATTATGGAAAGAAAGAAAAAAAATATCCTGGCCTGCTGGGTAATACAGATTGCATTGCCTGAGAATCTTCCCTGGAAAATGTTGTAAATTAGTTCTGGTTCATCTGAACTTAGCTATTCCAGTATCGATGACTGCATGGTGTCAGCATGCTCTGCTCTGCTTCTGAGAGGTCCACACGGTTCAGATCTTAGCTGGAGTTTTTAGGCAACCTAGACATAATCCTTTATGTCGCAGACTGCTGTGCAGGCTGAGATCTAGTAGAAGGATGTGGATGTAGAAATGGGCAGAATTTAGGTCACCAAGCCCCAAATCAATATTCTAAAAATTCTTGATGAGCTTTCACCCAGCCTTGGAGGATTTTTTGTTGTTTGGGAGTTTGTTGGGTGCCTAGATTTGCACTTTTCTACATGCCCAGAGCTGTCCCAGCCTTGATGTGACCAAACAGTACATTCATGCTGAAGACCACCCAAAATCCAAAGGTTAGGAATTATTCTGCTTTGGTCTCTTTAGTGATTTTATCTAATTTGGCTTCTCACTGTGCACTTGATAAACCTGCAAAGATGGGTGTGGTGCACAATGATCTTGAGAACGGTCATTACTTTTTCTAAAAGCAAAGCCAGAAAAGCTCGCAATGCTCTCCTGAATCATTAATCAATAAACTAGCATTAATAGGAAGCTCCAGGTTCTTCTCCCATCTCCTTATAGAGCATCCTGATATATTATCTGGTTTGGGGTGGAGACCGTGTTTGCCCCTCCTTTTGAAGCTGTTTCACTGTGCAGCAGAGAATGGTCTAGAGAGAGTGTCAAAGCAGACATTACCCGTTGTCTGGTGGCTGAGGTGTTCATATCAAAGGGAGAATCTTGGAAACAAAAAGCATGCTCCAGGACGGTTTCTGTATTTCATGCAGTGAATGAATGGAAAATGTGAAATGTACTTAGAAAGTCCTCCTAACGGACTCATTTCTGGTAATCGTTTGCTATATCTGATCCTCAAGCCATCCATAAAAATAAGAGGAATAAAATTTCCCCTCCTCGTATC